CATGCTTGGCATGCATGGGACCCCTTTGCTAAACTTCCCCCTTAGGGACCATTGCTGCCAATATCTTAAATTTACAACATTTCCTCCATCAAAAGTCTGTTCTCGTCAACTCTTTATCCATATTAAGGACCGAAATGCCCTTACTCTTGATCTCAAAAACCCATAAATAGATATTTCAAGAACGGTGCGTTACAGATGGGTAACGACTGCACCTTGCCATAAGGTCTTTGATGCTCCGCTTTGACCTTCATACAAGTCAAACAACGCTCAACAAACCAAGCAACCTCTCTTTTCATACAGGGCCACCAATAACTCAACCTCAAATATCGGTACATCTTTACGGCCCTTAGAAGGATAGAAAACTTTGATTTATGTGTCTCCTCTATACTCGTCTGCCTCACCCATCTTGATGTCGGAACCCAGACGCTACCGCATTAAGTCAATAACCCACGACTGTCTCTAACAAAGAATGGTAGATGCCATCTAATCCGCCCAGTCTTCCAATTTTCCTTCTTCAATCCTTCTACCTGAGCCTCCTTGATCAAATCCATCAAGGGTGAAGTAAGAGTCGTCCTCAAACAAATATCTTGGATCGATGAACATATCGCCTTATGGATCAAAGCATCGCCCACCACATTGGTCTTCCCGGGGTGATATAAAATCTCACAGTCATAGTCTTTTACCACATCTAACCACCTTCATTGTTGTCTATTCAAGTTCGGCTGATCCATCAAATACTTCAAACTCTTATGATCGGTGTAGATAGTGCATCGGACCTCGTACAAGTAATGCCTCCAAATTTTATGGGCAAACTCTATCGCACCTAATTCCAAATCATGTATGGGGTAATTCGCCTCATGAGGCTTCACCTGCCTCGAGGTGTAAGTAACCACATGCCCTCTCTGCATAAGGACAACTCCCAAACCCGAGATAAAAGCGTCCAATAAACCACGAAATCATCCAATCCCTCAAGCAACGTGAGAATTGGAGCCTCGCACAACCTCTGTCTCAGTGTCTCGAAAGCCAACTGCTGATCTGAACCCCATTGGAATGTCACATTCTTCTTGGTCAATCGGGTCAAAGGCACCACAATCTTGGATAATTCCTGAATAAATCTCCGATAATACCCCGCAAGACCCAAGAAACTCTGAATCAAGGATGCTTTTTTCGGGACCTCCCAACACATCACCGCCTCGATCTTGACCGGGTCCACCAATATACCACCCTGGTTGATGATGTGCCCGAAAAACTACACCTCACACAACCAAAACTCGCATTTGGAGAATTTGGCATAAAGCCTCTCCCTCCTCAAGGTCTCTAATACCTCTAGAAAATGCTACTCATGTTGCTCATTGGTCTTAGAGTATACTAGAATATCATCAATGAAAACAATCATAGAACGATCCAGTATCGACCTGCAAACCCTATTCATGAGATCCATGAATGTTGCTGGTGGCCTTAATGTCCATAACGAGTTCTGAAGGCCGTCTTATGGACATCCTCATCCCTGATCCTCATATGATGGTATCCTGACCGAAATTCGATCTTGGAGAACCAATATGCACCCTAAAGTTGATCAAATAAATCTTCGATCCTCGGAAGTGGGTAACGGTTTTTCACCGTTAGCATGTTCAATTCTCGATAACGATACACATCCTGTGTGACTCATCCTTCTTTTTCACGAATAGAATCAATGCTCCCTATGGGGAACTGCTCGGACGGATAAAACCCTTGTCTAGCAGCTTCTGCAGCTGCATAGACAACTCCTGCATCTCAGGTGATGCTAGGGGATATGGCGCCTTTGCTATGGGAGCCGAACCAGGGATCAAATCAATCTGGAACACAACTTGCCTCTCGGGAGGCACTCCCGGCAACTCCTCAGAAAAAACATCAGGAAAGCCTCGTGCAATGGGTACCCCGCTCAACTTTGTCGTGGTCTCAACCCATGTATCCGAAACATATGCCAGAAACCCATAACAACCCTACTGAAGAACCTCCTAGCCCTCGCGGTTAAATAGAGAGATGGCCCATGCGAAGCTCTCTCACCAGGAACGACCAATTCTCCCCCACTTGGGGTTCGAACTCTCACCTCTTGTCGCTCACAATCAATCACAACCCCCATTGGGCCCCAACCAGTTCATTCCGATGATCACCTTCAATCCCCTCAAGGGAATCGGTACCAGATCGATAGGGAACCTCTCACTAAACATATTCATAACACATCCCCGGAATACCCTCCCAGCGCTCACGGTACGATCGTCCGCAATCTCCACCTCTAGAGGGAAATCCAAAGTTCCTGGAGCATCTCAGAACTTCTTGCTAAGCGCAAGAGATACAAAGGATCGGGTAGCTCTCGAATCAAATATAACATGAGCCGACAATCTATTGACCAAAAGGTCCCTATACAAGATTATAACAAACATAAGCATAACAAAAAAAAACAATAAAAACATAGATAAGTGACATACCAGTAATGACATACGACGCTACTTGGGCCTCATCAGTGGTCAACTGAAAACACTCTGATCTTCACCGCAGGAGCCTCTGCCTTGCCCTGGCAGCCAACGATAATCCTCATGGTGGCTGGTGTAGGCGCCACCACTACTCCACTAGACAACCTCCGACAATTGGCCTTTTTATAGTCAGTCTGGTTGAAGTGGAAACAAATCAAGTCCTTGGGGCATTCCCTGCTCATGTGGCCTGATTGGTCACAACTGTAACATATCAAGCCTCTCAAAATATTATGGTTGTTTGTTCTCTTATAATAATTATTAATCACAAGATTTCAAGAGTTTTGCCACAGGAAGTCATCACAACCATTGATCACAAGAATTTAAAGAACTTTGTTAAAAGTTGCCATCAAGATGCACATTTTCACAAATGCTTTGTCAGTCGTTGCTGCAACAATTAACATACTATTCGATGATATCTTCAGTGGCCCATTTCAAGATCAAGGAAAGTTTGAAGTTTTCATAAATGCAAAGGAGAATTTAATTGTTATGCATTTACAAAATATTATTATCCCAAATGTTTGGTAAGTCCTAAAAAACCTCTAATGTTTCTCTGTCCACTTCTTGTTCAAATTCCTTAGATTTTCTGATTATCCTTTTTCAAAAGGGAAAACTATAATAAAGTCCTTATATATTGGCCTCATAATCGATTTAGCCCTTATATTTTTTTTATTCAATTAAGTCCCAAATACTGGTAATCGTATTCAATTTAACCCATTGATCCGGTCAACAGGTCATCCAACTTTCAAAAATTATATTTTCGGCCCAGATTTCAAAATTTATTACAAATTTGGTCCAAATTTTACATTTGTGGCCCAGATTTTAAATTTTTTTTACAAATTTGGTCCAAAATTTACACTTTTTGCCCAAATTTTAGACTTTTATTATGAATTCATCCTAACTTTAGTCTTTTTTACAACTTTTTTTTCTCAAAAGTTTGTTTCTAATATGTTTTTTCTTTAAAACTCATATTTATACAAAAAAAAAACATATTTTCACATAAAAATCTTATTTTTTCTATATAAAAACTTTTTTGTATATGAAATATCTAATTATAAAAATAGGTTTGGATTATTTGTGTGATTTTTCTTAAAAAATCAATTAAGAAATTAAAAGTAACCCTAAATTATACTATTAATATAGATATTTTAATATGTGTTCTATTTAGTGTGTATTCTTTTTTCTATGAGATTTTAATATAGTTGTTTATATGTATTTTTCAATCTGTTGCATCTTCGTAAATTAAATCATACCTTCGATCACATATATATGACAAAAGGTATGTAAAGTTGTTCTAATCTCATATATGACGATCCATATTAATTTCGGTAGGAGTTGTAACTATCAACATTTGTAATACTTTTTTATATTTGTTAAATGTCATTTTCTGCCAAAAACCTCTTTATCGATAAATGACAATTGCTCCATTGTAGATAGTTATTTTTTGTTATTACAACAAACAAAATTGACACATGAATCCGATTTTACAAAAAAGTTTAAATAAAGAAATCCAAAGTGATGATGAACTATATGTATGAACATGTATTCAGCGAGAAACAAAAAATATGAAGTTTTCAATATGTAGCATCTTCTATTATTTAAACTTTTCCTATAAATGTGATTAAAGAACAAATAAATAATATTAAAATGAGTGTAACTAGTTTTTGATAAACTATAATTTAATAGTATAATTTAGGGTTACTTTTAATTTCTTAATTGATTTTTTAAAAGAAATCACACAAATAATCCAAACCTATTTTTATAATTAGATATTTCATATACAAAAAAGTTTTTTAAAAAAGTTTTTATATAGAAGAAATAAGATTTTTATGTGAAAATATATTTTTTTTTTGTATAAATATGAATTTTAAAGAAAAAACATATTAGAAACAAACTTTTGAGAAAAAAAGTTGTAAAGAAAACTAAAGTTATGATGAATTCATAATAAAAATCCTAAAATTTGGACAAAAAAGGTAAATTTTGAACCAAATTTGTAAAAAAAATTAAAATTTAGGCCAAAAGTGTAAATTTTAGATCAAATTTGTAATAAATTTTAAACTCTGAGCTACAAATATAATTTTTGAAAGTTGAATAACTTGTTGACCGGATCAAAGGGTTATATACAGGGACTTTATTACAGTTTTCCTTTTTCAAAATGTTTATACTAATTGGTCGTCGAGTTTAATTCCAGAAGATACTATTTAAACGACTATTGTTTAATTCTCTTCCAGATATCATTTTGTTATCAATATCTTGTTTAGCAATAACAATATTGTTTTATTATCAAATATCTTGCATATGTATATTTATATTTTATAAGACCACTTGTTAGAATTTATTCGACCCATTTGACATTGTCTTAAACTTGTACAATATCAAAAGGGTTACGGCTACCCTTGATGACACATCAATGAGTCGTACTGATATTTGAACCTAGACCTTATTTATATCCATTCTCACCCACTTACAGCCAAAACAAGCAAATGGAAATGGAACTGGAACGACTATGTATATATATGATAGAGATACAATTTAATGTACAAATTTGCAGTTATGAAAGCAGAAGAGTATTCAACCAACCGAGCACACAATATAAATATAATTAACGTGATACTCAACTAGAAAGGTGGTCCCCAACAATGTAAATATCTAAAACCTTACAAAAAAATCAATGAAAACAAGAAATCTTTTTTTTTTTTTTGACAGAACCACCTCATCCTTTCAGTTGCTCAAACACATCAGCATTGAATAGTTATAATAAAAGAGACCATTTCAAACCTTTCTTGTCGATTTGAATGTGAATAAAAGATTAAGTTCTAACACATATAGAATTTTAATTTAGCTTAGCATGGATTTCTCCTGAAGTACTCGACATCTGTATTCTCCTAATGCCCAAATAGGGAAGATGTTTCTGTAGGCAGCATAAGTAATCATGCAATTCCTGTTAAAAACCCCCATGATCTCCTGCACAAATGGATTTGATTATTTTTTTCTTAAAACCATTTTTAATTGAAAAATATAAATTGAACATTAGGATGGAAATACCACTATTTTTATAAAATATATTTAAAACTATTTTTTGGTATACAAATAATTATAAATATACAAGTTACCATTTTAACAATAAAAGGGTATTTGGGTACTTCTAACAAAGAGGAATTGTATTCTGTTGGTCAAATGTTTGGAATTTTATTTCATAGGTTTTTAAAATGGAATGTTGAAACCATTAGTCAAATGATTTTGTGGATCCTTTGCAACAAACACCGGAATGGAATTAAATTCCAATTCTAGCCAAATCAAATGAAATCCAGCAAACAGAAAGCCCCCCTCTCGCTTTACATTTGTCGAATTTAACTTTATAATTATATTTTATAAAACACATATAGAACTGATTATAAAGGGTATTTGGGTACTTTTTGACAGACAAATCAATTATAAATATTTAAGTGACCATTTTAAAAATAAAAGGATATTTGGGTATTTTTTTTAACAATGAGGAAATGCTTGGAATTAGTTTAGATGGTGGGTTTTTCTATGGAATGTTGAAATCTGTTAGTCAAATGATTTTGTTGATTCCAATTCCGTACTAAATGCTGGAATGGAATTGAACTCCAATTCCAACCAAACTAAACAAATCCAGCAATCAAAAAGCATCTTCATGCTTGAAATTTGTCAAATTGGACTTTTTTAATGTGTTGAAAAGATATGTTATGAAACATGTTGAACTCTTTCCCTTTAAAACATGATAAGTGTGGTTTTGATTGATCATGTGAATATGCACTTTAGTGTGTGTTTGAACCCCACATTGTACCCAACTTTTTAGGAAAAAATACAAAAGAAACACTTCCAAGTTCACAATTTATCAATTTAAGCGGTTAACTATTTTGTGTACTTATCAAACCCTTATATTTTTTTGACTATTTAAAACAAAAAAACACATCTTCCGACTTTGATATAGAACAAAATACTAAAACACAATGTGCTTACACCATTGAATCGATTTAGGCACTAAAAGATTATTTTTACTACTATTATAACATCCATAAAGAAGTAATAGCTCAATGAATAAAATGATGAAAATATGTTGTGATTTCTGTATTTAACCCATTGTAACTGTGAAAAACGTTTTTTTTGTTATATAAAAAAAAAAGTAGTCTAATGGCTTAATTACTATGGAAAATAGTTAAAGTGAGTAAAATGGATTAAGATGGTGAAAGTACAAGTGTTATTCTGTGATTTTGCCCCCCAAATGTGCAATCAGCTGTAGATAATAAGTTTATTGGCAAGAGATTATTACCTGTTGTGGAAAATCTCCATTTTCCATCTGAGAATTAATCAATACTCTTGCTGCACGGTGCAATGGCGTTGGATCTCTCTTGGCCTGAGAAAAAGTTTGGAACTTGAGTAATTTTTGGAAAGGTATACATAAATTCACTGTTGACTTAATTAGAAACTTTTATTAGCTTTACATTATTTTGAAACTTATCATTTGTTAGAAAATTTTATTATGTATTAGGTTACTTAGGCTTATTACAAAATTAGCTGCAGATCTAAAACGGGGTTGGGAATATAAAATAAACCTGGCTAAGTTTAATTTTCACACAGGAATATGTGTCATCCATCCATCTTAAAAGACAATGTGTGGCCTTAAGCAAACATAGTTTGGAACACTTGCAAGATTTATCATTTATGTTAGCCATATATACAAACAACATCAGACACTCTTGGCGTGTTTGGTCATAAACAACATAAAGATTCCCAAGGCTTAATTTATATGCACATACTTACTTGGATTGGGTTATACAAAAATGCAACAAGAGGTTTGATGTCTTTATGATCACTAACGGCTTTATTCGAAATTGATGCAACAAGAGGTTATTGACAAAAAGGAATCAATTTAGGTAGTCCTTTGTGATCAACATCGAAATTCACTATGAATCTGTGGACACGATCTATCTATTATTAGTATTAGTATTAGTATTAGTATGAAGTATGTTGATTGCTTTCAAGGATAACTGCAAAATAGATGAGGTTAACAGCAGTTGGAGTTTGAAATTGTCGACGACCTAAGCAGAATAAATCTTGGCAACGAAAGCACCAAGTGAAATATTATTTCAGATAAATGAAGAAACTTTGACCTCAATATAGAAGATTTACACAGATGATAATGCAGGAACTTTTCAGAGGGAGGGTATTTGGCCTAAAAGGCATTAGTTAAGCATTGATTTTGGATCATTAGAGCATTGCGCATGATATTTGTTTGGCTTTGACCATTAAGTGTTAGCAAGCGCTTGATCGATCACAATGTCAGACAACATAGAAGCAACACTCTAACTCTAGTTAATTTGATTTTTGATTAGCCATAATGCACAAGCAGCAAAACACATCTCAAAGACATCAATCACAGGTGGATTGTCAAAACCTTGTTATGCGAAACAAAATATGGTTGCTCAAGCACCAAGGAAGGGGATCGATAAGTAAAATGAACGCGTTAAAATTTCAGAGGGAGGCTAGAGACTCATGTACTCAACTCCGGTCAATGAGGCCAGCATGCATTGCAAGCTCTACTTTAGCCATAAATCATTCCTCGATGACTTGACGATTAAGTGATAACAATTAACAAATATCTCATACTTATAACCCCGCCAACATGATAATGATATTGCTACACAAGTTACTTCATCAACAGAATTAGTTAAAAAGTGGTTTGGTTGTTAGAAGCTAAGATATACCTGCCATAATCCTTTTGTTATGTGTACCGGGAACATTTATATATACTTTTTGATTCACAGAAAAAATATCCTTCTTACTTGGCAACTAAAATGATGTGAATTTGGTTTGGATGCATACCTGCTCAGCATCAATGAGAGCTAGCATAGCCCATCCTGTGTTTACCACGTGAGAGCGATTTCCCTCGAGATTGGTGTACACCTGCATAGATTTAGAACACATTAACGCATTGATGAAAGCATGACCTAATCAGTTTTGGTACTTTTAATAACTAGTTACCTTGTTCTGACAAGAGAGGTAGCTCTCCCCCCATCCCCCAGAAGCAAGTTGTTTGGACAACAAAAAGTTACAAGCCTTGCGAATGCTAAAGCAGTTAGAGAAGTTCCTTCCAGCAGCCACTAAGCCTTTCACTCCAAACCATGTGCCATACGTGAAGCAAACTGCCCACGAACCATACCTAGTGAGCATTTTGCAAAAGCTTTTCATCAAATTTATATTTTCATATACAAAAACAATGTAATAAACAACAATAAGGAAAAAAACAAACCATGAACCATCTGGTGCTTGGATTTTTTCGATAAAGGCGGCAGATTTATCAATACAACGCTGTACCTCTTCTCGCCTATGCCCAGGGTACAATCTCTTGAATGCCACCAGAGCTTGAATCGCAGCCGAGGTGCACTCTACATATCTGATACATCACATTGCCATTGGTAACCCAACTTCACCAAAAAAAAAAACGAAAATTGGAAAAGAGGTCCTGATCACTTACGGGTAGTCAATAACAATGTCACCAAAAGTTTCAGCAGGATTCACCAACTGGAAGTAGGATTATAGAGACAATTAGAAATGTCAGATTACATAATAAAATGATGTGGAGGAAGGCGGGATGCCAAAACCACTAATAAATAACAATCTAACTAACTAAATACTAAATAAATAGAATGTGTTTGCAGTCAATCATATTAATAAGCAAGTGCATGGGTGGGTGGGGGGTACCTCCAACCAGCTGTAGGATCTTGTAAGTTCATATGTTGCAAAACTACCATCAGAATTCTGCAAAGGAAACAACTTGTCAGACATTGAAAATCATGTTAATGTTATGCTCAAAAACTAAGGTGTAAACCCCCGAGCAAGAGTCACCAGTAGAGCACAAGGTTTTCAGAATATGCATGCATGCATGAATATGAATATGAATATGATTGATTACCTGTAAAGATAAAATAACATTGACAGCATCATATAGCCGTTTTGCATCCAGTGGCTCGTCAACGATTTTTGATGGCAATTTTGAAAGCAAGAGTGCCGCCTAAAAAAAAGAAATAAAGAAAATAAAAAAAACTAAACTGGAAGCAATAATATTATATTATGGACAGCTTGAATACGATAAATAAATAATAAATAGTTAGTTGCCTTGAGCCCTTCTGCAGTACAATCTGAAATGGGCCATCCGTGATCTGCCGTTGAGAAAGGCCAAGCACCTTTTGAAATATGACGATACCAATAATCAAGATCGCCAGGGCAGTTATCCAACACCTTTGATTGAAACAAATGCAATTAAAAAAAAAAATTGTCAAGAAACAAGGACAACCAATATGGTTCAAAAGTTGTGTATCCTTCACCTGTGACTTCTTTATGAACATGTGTCCTTTTTTCAGTGTTGGACCAAACTCTTCGATGAGGTTTGTAGAAATAATTGCTTGAACGGTGAACGCGGTATCCCAAAGTTGACTACCATTGTAACCCTGCATTAGATTATCAAAATTCATTTACACTCTGATACTAATTAATACAAGTAGACAGAACAGAAGAAATCAAATTTAATGAAAGTAAGATGGTAAAACCTGCATTTTCATGCCATCTTCAGCAAGCCAAAGATAATCATGTATCCTAGGGAGGTGTAGCTTGAAAGCCTCTGAGTTTGGATCTTCTGCCCAGCAGCAGAGCATATTTAACACCTGAAGAAAAGGTTTTATTGTTTACAAATTATTTACAAATATAAGGATTAGATTATAATGGTATTATTGTTTACCTTGTTTACAGGTCCTATGCATATATAGCGAGTATTATCATCCTCATAATGGATGTGTTCCATCGCAGTGCGAAGAGCCTTCTCTCTCAGCTTCTTCCCAGGCCATCTCATCAGTATAGGCTCCACAAACTTGTCAAGAGTTGCCCAAAGTATGTCTTGGATGAGTGGGTGAGGGTAGTAAAGATCTTCCTGCACAAAAATATTTTAAAATACCTCAAGCCAAATGGAATTTATCTTCCTTATTAAAAAAAATACAGATATTAACAATGTTGGAGTTAATTGTTACTGTCTGGGATTGACAGCAATATGCAAAATACAACCTTCCTTTATCTAGAAAACATCAAAGTATAGGTAAAGAAAGACTTTGGTGGTGTTTTTTTTTTGGCAAAAGGTCTTTTTGACCTCTTATCTTATCTCAGACTTTTTGTTTACCTCATAAGACCTTCTAAGATAACAGGAAGGGGTACATCACACACTAATTCAAGAACTCAACTTAGAGTCTTAGACACACCAAATGCTTGAAAAGGGAATGGGAAACAAGGCCACTTAGTTAAGCCTCAACATGGGTTGCATGAGAAAGTATGAACTGTGTGGGACATTATTTATTGCTCAATACTAGCTAATGTGGGATAATCAAATTCAAGTGGGAGGGGTTTCAATGTTCAATTATGAACATAAATGTGAGGTGACAACCATTTACTAATGGCTTGTGTCAAATGCAAATTCAGCATGAGGGAGCTTGAACGTCCCAAATCCCAATCTTTCAAAGTCCTATGGCCATGCAGTATTAGTCACTTCTTTCTACCAATTTGTTTGTTAATACTAGTAGTGATTTAACAATTTAGGTTTGAGTCATGAGAGTATGAGACATGAGGTATGAGGGTTCCTAAATTGAAGCAACGCATGTTGCAATTGCTTATCATCTAACCCAGACACATCATGTTCATATGTGACAATAACAACACTCATATCTTACATGAGTCTCTACAATCTATACCTCTACTTGAGCATTTGTTACACTCAATAAATCCTCAACTACATCATTTGCTTAATGCCCCTATCAAGACTTGCCTATCCTATGAGACAGCTTGCACTCCATAAATATCTCGAGAAAGCATTGAATAGATAAATTGCATGTTTTTGTTTAAGCGTAGGCTTAAAGAAGCATGTGCACCCCCCTCTACCCACCAAAAAAAAGGGGGAAAAGTTATACCCTCCAATTGCATTAAGTGGTCAACTGAATAGTAAAAAGCTATAAAATAAGCTCCTACTGGAGATGCTCTAATACCATATACCCACAAATTGGTGTAGAAAAACAATCAAAGATTGTATTGATTTGTGAGCAGAAGACCACACTTGCTACTATACAGTATGTGAAGCCAAGCTCATGTATAGTAAGAGTTGGTTCTTGATCACGGACAGAAAACCAAAATTGGATAGTGTTGATTGTAATTTGGGGTTTTATTTTACCCAAGGATTCAATGGTGGTGATATAAGAAATAAGTAAACAAAACTCTCAAAGATCAAAAACAACAAAGACACGTAAACTGCAAATACTTAAGGGGGTAGAATGTAAGGCAAGCAAATTAACAACCCTTGCAATAAATGAAACTCATCTAAAACCACATGTGAGAAAAGATGAAAAATGAGTCTTTCTTTTGGTTGTTGTTTTGAGTAACTGTATCTTGAAATATGAGATTTCTGAAACCCGTCAACAATAAACCGAGATTGAAGATTAAGAGAATAAAAACCAATGTGAAGTTTGAATAGAGTAATTTCCTAGAAGAAAAATAATGGTGAATGGTGATCCACTAAGAAGCCGAAAACAAGAAAAGGACAAATGAGGTATTCACTAATAGGGTACATCTACATCACAAAGAGGTGTATTTATATTGTAATTATAGTAACAAAAGAAAGACCACCAAGTCCTGTTAAATCATAATAGTCTGAATGGAAAGAGATAACCATAGACGTTTATAAAATTCAATATGTGAAGGAACCAAATATCAAAGCATTATACTTTATACAAACCTTGGCACAGAGGTTGCGTGCATCATTCCAATCTATGTCATGATAGGGGACTGTAAACAGCTCCTTTCTCAAGGCCAGAACCGTAGATGTGATAGGTCCAACAAACCTCTTCCCATATAAGTACGACATAGGCAGATACACCATCCGGCAGTGACACCACATCCTACCTGAAAAAAAAAAAATTAAATGTCCAACATCTCATCTCATATAATAATATCCACAACAAACTGAATAAATTTATCCATAAATTAGTAGGTTATATTATATGAGGCACTCGCCTGGATGCACGGGAAGGAAATATGGAAGGACCCACATCTCAGGGGGCAACGGATTATTTCCAGACCACTCAAATACCCCAAGTACCTAAATATTATTAGCAACATATAAGACGAATACATATAGGTAACAAAGAAATATGAACAAGATGAAGGGCAAGTTGCTATACTGAAAGCCAAAACTTTCCCCAAGATGTTATTGAAGTGGCACCACCGTGATCCAAAATCCACTTCCGCCCCTTCTCCATCGCCCCCCCTTCTCCATCATTAGCTCCTTCACCCAGCAATCTCAAAGTGACATAGTTCAAGGCACTACCAAACATGGTGCTATGACCCTCGATGTGTAGACCCCATCCACCATCTCTATTCTGCATTTATGACATGTTATATTCTTTGTAAAGGGTAATGAAAAGCAACCACAGTTATACGTTTATCATAAGGATTATAACAAAATATACTACACATGCCTGATGATTGTAAAGGTAACGGCACATCTCCCGTTTATGCTCTTTAGATAAGACTGCATTCAGTGCCCCAGTAATGGTTAGAGTAATAACCTGATGCATAAGATTAACTTGTAATGTCAGCATTTACATTAGTTGTTCATCTCCTGAAGAAGGTAATGTATTTCCTGCAGATAAAATCCTGACAGCTGCATTACTGGAAAGGTAAAATAGAGTTGCCACTCTCAGACGAATGGATATATTCTTTTCAACTCTTAAGAAACCATAAAAGAAAGGCTAAAACTCACCAAACCAGGCAATAAAAACATAGGGCCTCCATAGTCTCCTGGCCAATGCCCATCATCTGCCTGGAGGGTTGAATGGAAACCAATAGCTCTTCGTAAGACGTTTGTTACTTTCTCCTCTGTGATATCTTCAGCATCTTTTATGTTCACTCTAGGTGGAAATACAGAGAGTGACTTCTCTTTTGCAAACTACAAATTTGGTAGTATTAGATTCCAAACATACACTAGAAGAACCAAAGTTAAGCGCCTATGTAATAAAGAAATCTAGGTATTTTCACCACTTGATGTGATAAAGGCATTTCAATATCTGTAAGTCTGCCATTAGCCAAGCCAACACAGTGGAGAATTGGTTAAGACAGTAGTCAGCAGTAGAATTCATATCCTATAATATGGCAGGATACAGTAATACTATGTCTATATGAGGTTTGTTCCCAGCAAACCTAACCATCATCCATCCCATAAGTAATTAATTCGGTTAACCAATCAGTAAAAATCTATCACCTTCATAGTTCATCATTACATAATGTTATCAAGTAGTCAACTAACCCAGAATTTAGGATTTTTTTTACATATCACATGCAAATTTTACCCTTCTGTTTATTTCAGGCCACAGGCCCACACCTAGATAAGGCAGATCAAGGAATGCAATTGAGAGGACAGAATGATGGCAACTAAAGGTAGGCCCATATCATTTATTATTACTTGGTTATCCAGTTCAGCCATATGACTTGTACTTTGTATCTTTATGATCGATCATATCTGATTCTGATGTTGTGCTGGAATCACCAACCATGTAATTCAACCTCATCCACGCAATATGACTTCTACCTTGTAATGTATCTACGCATTTTGACATTTTAACATTTTAACTCGATTCCATTTCTTTACTTTTCAAATCTTGGGATTAAAGAATCTCTGCTGTCAAAACTTTCAACACTCAAAACTCCATAACCCCAACTACTCAAACAAAAGGCTTCTCGCTACGTAAAAGAACATGTTGATTTTTTTCTAAAATTGATTTTGCACATCAATTACAAATGGATTTTCGTTTCTAAAAACAAATGTTGTAACCGCAGTCCGGGTTGTAAAACATGTGGCGTTAATTACAATGTACCTGACTGCGCATAAGCAGATCTGAACTGTGTTTTTTCTCAAACCGATTTTCATGAAAGGTCTGTCGAACTTTCTCGATATCTGCGAGTTCCTCAAGGGACCCTAGCGTGGGATCAAACTCCCAAAATTGTCGGCCGATGTGATCGTTTGTCGAACGCAGCCATGGACTCCCTCCCTCTGCGATCTTCAGTTTCCACATTGTTTACTTCACTACCAAAATCACGAAAATAGTCAAATCGTCACAATTACAGTTTCATGCTCCACAACACTAGCATAACAGAAAGAAAGAAATGCACAAATTCATACATTTCGAACAGAAACGCAAGATACCGAGTACAATCGCATATCAAAATCAATATCCCAAATAGACTATATGTATTGGATTACCGATTTAGAAGAAGAGAAATAGGGGCCGACTACGTGTGACACAGCTACTCCTCCAGAGTTACTGCTACAGCTACTACATATGCCGTTCAAAAAAAAAAAAGCTACTGCATATCGAAGATTTAATTTTCTAAAAATCCTTTGAAGAATTATAGTACTACATGATTAGTCATTGTGATTTATAAAAATGCATTTACATCCTATCAAGATATTTGTATATTACTAGAAAACCTGTAAAAATGATCTAGAAAACTGTAAAAATGATGTCGTTTTGCTTTTGGTTATATTTGAGACAGTTTCAAAATGACTTTTCCATTTTAAATTTGGTTTATGTCTAAGTGGACTAAATTAAATTTAACATATTTATCGTTAAATCTTTTTTATTTTGTTTAAAATTAAATGTGAGACTCGTTTATTATATATATTGATTATAAAAAAATATTTAGGTGTAAATATTAAGCATTTTTTAAAGTAAAATTTCAAAATAAATAAACATATTCAACTAATGAACCATGAGGAGTAAATAAGATCTGGTTTATAGTTCAACTATACTTTCGAATACATAAAGAATGTATAGACAGAAAGACCTGGAAAAGTTATATCTAATCCCTGAGTACGACTCCTATTTATAGGAGAATCTGAAATATACAAAAAATACGAAAGACTAAACATCAAGACTTCGAAACATAAAATGCCTTAGTAAATAGATAATATGACTTTCGAAACTGCTAATACAAACTTCGACACATTACAACATATTCGACACTAACATTCTCCCCCTTTATAATAAGTGTTGAAGTCAAGTGATTAAAATTTGAGCAGCAACATGTAAAGTTCTTCGAATCTATGCGTACCAATTCATAACTTTCTTTAACTCAGATTTATCCCCTTCGTTATTCTTCTTACAACTATTCATACTGTCACACCCCAAAACCAAGAACGGTGGAAAACTTTCAGGGGTGGAGGACGTCATGTACTGTATCACAACAATGCAAAGTAGTAAACAAGCAACAACATCATCCATTGCATTAAAAGTAAATATTTAATACATGTGTGTTCTGTAATAGTAATAAGACACCAAAATATGAAATCAAAATAAAAGACGAGTCTTGTCTGTGCTCCGTCTTCTCAAAACCTGGCCATCATACTTGTCTACTGGTGACCTGAGAATACAAGTTATTTTGAAAGCGAGTATCAGCATAAAGCTGGTGAATTCATAAGTATTTAAGTGTCATTGTCTTGTTTTGGAAAGCTGTTATGAATGCCATGTAAATCTTTGAATAAAACAATTGATATAAGTATGAAAACCCTAGAAAATCTCATATTTCCTATTAGTATAAGAGTAGTCTTCTACCAAGACCCGAATGTTTTGAAAGTAGTCTTGTACCAAGACATGTATGTTTGAAAGTAGTCTTCTACCAAGACCTGTATGTTTGAAAGTAGTCTTCTACCAAGACCTGTATGATTTGCTATAAAAATGATAGTTTTCCCTCTTTTCGACTATTACTAATAGTACGTAGTCTACCTCATCGTTTATGTGAATGTATCACAAAATAAAGTAATAGGAAAAATATAGCCATGTAAGTGTTATCCTTTTGTATTAGGATCAAGACGACATTGCGACTACCGAAATGTATAACCTTGAACATTCGTAGATTGTTCATTTTCCTCTGTAGTTGGCATCAGGTTTAAGGAATGGTTAGTCCCGTAAAGGTACCCCTAATATAAGTGTCAACTGTAGACATACGTAGATGTTCATTACCTCTGTTGCTAACATGTGGGTTCCGAAATGGTTAGTCCCGTCTAGTTATCCTTTTGAACTAGGATAGACAGAAACATTTACAAATATGTACTAGTAACTCATCATATTGAATCTAGGTACAAGTATCCATGTAAGTGTATACAAATAAATGTATATATGTAAATGTATTCATGTAAGCGTATCGATGTAGACGTATTCATGTAACATGTAATGTATAGTATAGACTCATGAATGAACTGACTCTGGTGTAATTCCTTGCAATAGGAATAATGTGTTGTATCTCCTAACTATCCCTATAATAGTTAACTGGAAGGTAATTGATTGTCCAAGCAGGTTTATACACCCTTGCTACACAAGAGTGTGGGAAACTGAATGAAGGATGAAAGCTATCATATCAATACATATATAAGAACATAAGTGTATAGATATAGTTTTGATCAAGAAGATGAAAATGGTTTTGTAATACATTTAAGAGTTTTGAACAATAATTAACAATGACTTGATGTCATTTTAATACACATTTCAAAATTAATACATTTGATAACAAAGTATTTTTAAGATAGAAAACCATTTCATACATCACATTTTGAAGCATGTGAAATCAATTGGATGAAAACACAGTTATAAATCACATGTGATTGATTCTATAGCATGTTGTTTTCTACTAGTATTCGCCCCCCCATTAAAGTATTTAAAATCATTTAAAACATTGATTAAGAGGTATGAACTCACCAGTAGATGGTGGTTTTGATGAACTGAATGATGTAGGATTGCTAGGTGTCAAGTGAAGACTTGTACACACACTATGATCCTAGTTAACATATAATCACACATATATGTATCCAATTAGACTTTAAACCACTAATTGATAAAGTTAAGACATCCCAAGATATGTAAAACACCTTGTATAAGTGCTACAAGTCATAAGGATTGCATCTAAGTGTTGTAGGACCTTGCTATTGTGTTTGGGGTTCAAGGGTAAACTCCCTTGGAGTTTACGATTTTGTGACCATAAACCCATGGGTTTACGGTCGTAAACACATGTTATTTTTGACCATTTGTTGTTTTGAAGTTCTACAAGCCATTAGAAGTGTTTCCTCTTGAAGTATAAGTCTATAGAAGAAGTTAGGGCACCATTTCACTCCTTAATGGAGTTTACGGACCTAAGACCATTTCCCTTTTTGTTTATGGTCGTAAACCCCAATGGAATATGGTATTTTGGCATTTTCAAGTCCTTAACATATCAATGAAGGGATCCATGATAGTTACTAAGGCATAGGTAGGGACTACGGACATTTTGACACCCTAAATAGGGTTTACGGTCCAAGAACACCTTGGACCGTAAACACCTTGATCTTGGTGTTTCATGGTGTTTTTCTTGATGTAATGAAGTGTAACAAGCTTTACAATACACTAGGGCAGGAGTACTTACTAGTTAGAAGCTTGAAATGAGCCAAAAGTCCAAGAGCGCTAGTGTGTGTTCTTGGTCTTCTTGGTGAAACTTGAAGATTCACCCTTTTGGAAAGATCTAACGGATAGAAGTGTGTTAAATCACTAGATTAAGTGATATACTAACTCAAAAGGTGTAACGACGTAAATTTTAAAACCAAATTTTCATTTTCGTAAACATCAAAAACATCGATTAATATTTCAAATTCAAACATGAACAATATTATCATAACAGAATACATCCCAATGATCATAAAATAGTTTTTCCCCGACAATGTGTATGATCATGCCAACGCCTTCCCACGGTCCTCGCTAGTACCTGAAACACATAACATAACAACTGTAAGCATAAATTCTTAGTGAGTTTCCCCAAAATACAACTTACGCACATACGCCTTTCCAGGCCCTGACCTTCTGGTCCAAGTGTCTCAGGGGACTTCCGTCCCGACTAGGTAAACCTTCCGGTCCTACCCTCATCAACCTTACGATCCACATCACAACGCCTTCCGGCCCATAACACATTCGCCTTCCGGCCCATAATATAATGCCTTCCGACCCATATCAAGCATATCATACATGGCGCATATAACGATTAACTTATCACACATAATACATATATCTCATAACATATCTGACCTTCCGGTCACATAGTCAAACCCTTCCGGGTACAGTATAGTGAGAAAACTCACCTCGTGGAAAGTCTAAGATCTCGTGTCCTTGCTATCTCCAAGTCCCAACGACGACTCTACCTCGCCTAAACATAAAAATATCATTTAATACTCAAAGACTTCCACCACTATAACTTTACCCCTTATCATCATTCCTCAGAGGGTAAAAGACCATTTTACCCTTCCTTGACCTAAAGTCCTCATGTTGACCAAAACCTTAAAAGTCAACAAAAGTCAACCTTGAGAGTACGCGGGGCGTACTGCTAGATGTACGCGGGGTGTACATTGCTAACCCATGGATCGGGGTCTCTACCCAGTACGCTGCGCGTACTGGAAGTTACGCCCAGCGTAACCATCAGATTCTAGCACACTTCATTTCTGGTCTTAATCGGTTAAGCCATTACTCCAACTTCTAGATCCGACTCTGATAATGCGTCTAAACCCATAAAGTCGAGACCTTTAAGCCTTGGCATGGCTGTAAAGGCTCCAACACTTCTTAACATCATTCTAATCCAACTCAAGGACCTAGATCTCATGCATGGAGCAATATTCACATCCAAGATATCATTTTTATGAGTCTACAACTCCAATAGACCAGAAATTTGAAAGATCTAAGTTTATGGAGGCCATTTGCACAAAAAGTCTCCACTTTTGGGACTAAAACCCTAGAAAATGGTACTTGAAGCATATAACATGAACCAAGTGACAAGATCCGAACTTTTTACCTGATAATGAAGCTTTAACCCTTGCAAAGCTCAGATCTACACTTGAACACCACTTCTAGCCTTTCCAATGAGCTCTTCTTCTCCTTTGCACCCTTGGAATGGCACCACCAAGCTTAGAATATACACCAAATGGCTCAAGGACGAAGGCACACACTATTTAGGGTTTCACTCTGAGGGATGGTGGCTGAGAAGTCCAGCCACACATTCCTTTTATAGCCCTCTAAAGGAAATTAGGGTTTTAGATCTGGACAAGTTACGCCATGCGTAACCTTGGGTACGCCCAGCGTACCTGAGGGTGAACGCATCCAAATGAGGCGCGCGAGTATGCGCAGCGTACACCTTGTACGCCCAACGTACTCACCTATCATGAAAGCACTAAATTAACAACATAACCAAGATGCAGGGCCAAAAGAAGAATACCTGAATTTCGGGCTGTTACAATTCTCCCCCACTAGAACCAGACTTCGCCCCCGAAGTCTCATACTGAAAACAACTCTGGATATTGATCCTGCATCTCAGACTCGGACTCCCATGTCAGCTCGGACCCCTTCCGATGTTGCCACTGCACTTGTACTAGGGGTACTTCCTTGTTCCTCGGAACCTTAACTTTCCGATCCCTGATCGCTACTGGTCTCTCCACATAGTTCAGACCTGCATCCACCTGAATATCATCTAATGGCACCACTGCCGACTCGTCGGCAATACATTTCCTCAACTGCGAGACATGAAAGGTATCATGGATCTACCCCAACTCAGCAGGTAGATCCAAC